AAACCCATTCAAGGTACATATTATTTTATTTGTTTATTCTTGTCGAAATCTGTTTATTTTACGTGTAAAATGATAGAAAAATCGAAAATGTGTCGTGAATAATGGACCAACTTTGCTAAAATGTGCGAGGAAGTGTTCGAACGTTTCTATGAATTTTAGGAATCTTTGACGAAATTTTTTGGTACTTTTCATCTTGATAAACGATTATGGCCTCATAGTTATGGTCTGTTTATTTGACATTTTTAGTGGTTTAATTTTGTTGTTTTAGATCTAGTTAGACCATCCACATTAGAGACCAAATGTGGATGTCTCTAAATAAAAAAATATTAAAAACACATTCTCTCTTCCTTTTATTCAATTTATATCTTCTCTTTCATCATTTTATTCAACTTTTATTAATTTTATATTTAAACACACTCCAACTTTCATCTATTTTCTCTCCAACTTTGTCTTCCCCGAGACACCCTCTCTCCAATAATACTCACTATCTCATCTCTTTACTCAAATTTTATTAATTTTATATTTTAATATACCCCATTATTTCAACCAAAAACACTCTCTTTCTTCCTTTTACTCAACTTTTAATAATTTTATATTTAAAGACACATACAAAATGTCTCCAATGCAGATGCTCTTAATTATGCAGTTAATCAGCTTTTTATTAGTAATGATTCTATCTTATATTCCATGACATGTTTTACACTTTCAATTTGGATATATAATTGATATGTTTCTTCTAATGATGATGTAATCAGCTAGAGATTGAAAAATGGCGGACGGTGAAGATATTCAGCCACTCGTTTGCGATAACGGGACTGGAATGGTTAAGGTAAAGCCTATTCGAATGATCAACGAAAACAAGATTTGACATAAGTTGAAACTGAATCACTAGTTCAACTCTCTGCGTGTAGGCTGGTTTTGCAGGTGATGATGCACCAAGAGCTGTATTCCCAAGTATCGTTGGCCGTCCACGTCACACGGGAGTGATGGTAGGAATGGGACAAAAGGATGCATACGTCGGAGACGAGGCACAGTCGAAACGTGGTATCTTGACTCTCAAATACCCAATCGAACATGGTATTGTTAACAATTGGGATGACATGGAGAAGATTTGGCATCACACTTTCTACAACGAGCTACGTGTCGCCCCCGAAGAGCACCCGGTTCTGCTAACCGAAGCGCCGCTTAATCCCAAGGCCAATCGTGAGAAGATGACTCAGATCATGTTTGAAACATTCAACACTCCTGCTATGTATGTCGCCATTCAGGCTGTTCTCTCCCTCTACGCCAGTGGCCGTACTACTGGTCAGTACACTCATAAGACAACCTTTTTCTTGAACATGACTCTGCCTAAGTTGCTTTCCTTACACTTCATCACAAAACTGTGCTTTGTGCTTAGTGGTACATCAAGAGATCGTTTGCTAGTTTGCGATAATTAGGCCTCGGGAATTCTGTTTTTCCCTGTGGTTCGGGTTTGTGAAGAGCAAATTCGAACGGAACCGATTTTTGGGTTTGGTTCCTAGCTATAATTCTCTATTGATTGCTTTTAATTTTCAAATCTTGTTTGGTCAGGTATTGTTTTGGACTCTGGAGATGGAGTGAGCCACACGGTTCCCATCTACGAGGGTTATGCACTTCCGCATGCAATCCTGCGTCTGGATCTTGCAGGCCGTGACCTGACCGACCACCTCATGAAAATCCTGACAGAGCGCGGTTACTCCTTTACCACAACTGCTGAGCGTGAGATTGTTAGAGACATGAAGGAGAAGCTCTCTTACATTGCCTTGGACTACGAGCAAGAGCTCGAGACTTCCAAAACAAGCTCATCCGTCGAGAAGAGTTTCGAGCTGCCTGATGGTCAAGTGATAACCATCGGTGCAGAGCGTTTCCGGTGCCCTGAAGTCCTGTTCCAGCCATCGATGATCGGAATGGAAAATCCCGGAATCCATGAAACTACTTACAACTCAATCATGAAATGTGATGTGGATATCAGGAAGGATCTTTATGGAAACATTGTGCTTAGTGGTGGAACCACAATGTTCGGTGGGATTGGTGACAGGATGAGTAAAGAGATAACCGCGTTGGCTCCAAGCAGTATGAAGATCAAAGTGGTAGCTCCACCGGAAAGAAAGTACAGTGTCTGGATCGGTGGCTCTATTTTAGCTTCCCTCAGCACTTTCCAGCAGGTCAGTTACTTATATCACAAGTCTATTAGTTTTTTGGTGTATAATTGTTACACAATGTGTTCCAAATTTGCAGATGTGGATTGCGAAAGCCGAGTATGACGAATCTGGACCGTCGATCGTCCACAGGAAGTGCTTCTAATCAATATCACCAAAGTAATACAAGTGCGGTAAAAATTTTGAAATCGATTCTTCTTCATCTTAAAGACAGCTCCCCATAATTCCTTCCTTAACCTCTTTTCTTATGTGTTTCATCTTATTCCTCATTGTTCATTATAATCTTGCTTTTGAAGCAAATCAAGTTAAAAACAGATCAGTCATTAACAAGAGTGTTATTATTATATTGTATACATGTTGGTATACACACATTATCTTCTCCTGAGCTTTTCTCTGCTAATTGTGTTCAAGCTTTTCTTATACAGACATCGATTTTCATTTTAAATATTTTGAATGTGTGTTCTCATCAAAGCAATGAGACGACCGTATGCTTACTCTCGCCATCCGTAAATGGATGGTTCTCATCTTCTTCCGCTAGATCTTGACCCTCTTTCTTTTTGTTACAACCCAAAAGTGGGTTTATCTCTGTGTTCTCATCATCTTCAGGATCCATATTTTCTTTCATACTCGTCCCAGATTCCTCGTTCGGGACAATTACTGGCGGTTGAGGGAAGTCGCCAGGTTCATTTGGAGAAACCATTGGGTTGATGATCTCTTGGTCATCTTCATTGTACTTGGTAAAGTTGGAATTGCATTTCCTATAGACTTGAGGTTCTTGTAGGACTTCATTATCAGACAAATAATGAACTGAAGACTTCTGGTTGAAGCTACCGAAACCTTGAATCCCTCGAGACAACTCACGAGCTCGCTTCCTCTCTTCCTTGAGCAATTCTCCTTTCTCAAGTAGCTTCAAAACCTTCTCTGATTTCTTTCTGACAGCTAATCCCCAATTGAACCTGCCAATAAACAAAACTTATTGTCTCAGAACATTGAAACTTTCAACTCGATTGCGTTCAAACCAGACATGATCCTCCGTCCTAAAACCATTACCCTTTCTCGTCGATCTGTTGGAAAGTTTGCATTTGGGAGATAACATCAATATCGCCTTGAAACTCATCAGAGACACTCTCTGGTCCGTGAGTGAGCAAATGCTCAACAACAATGAGTGAGTTATAAGCCATTCTCCAGTTTCTTTTATCAAATCTTGCCAATCTAATTTACACCAAAACAACAACAACAAAGCCCCATAACTCAGTAACAAGGATGACTCCGGGGACCGAGGACATTATGAGCCAAAGGTTCGGAACTCCCACGATCAAAAAAAAAAAAAAAACTCAGTAACAAAATATATGGCATGTATAATTATCTTCGATTTGTTGGAACCTTTTTCCAAATCTTGTGATATATAAAAAAAAAATGGAACCTTTTGTGCAAGACACCAACAATCCGCAGATAATCTTCAAACTCAAAAGCTGCCTTTGAAATGGATCCTAAGGTTTGTGTGTTTGGCCCCCATGATTCCCCATCCGTAGCTTCCTCAGTCATTCTTCAATGAAATTTAATCAATTGCTCAAATCATATTTACATGCAAATAATTCTAGATATCAATAATCCATCGATCTCATAACAATAACAAAAAGACACTAACAGTTGAAGAGGAGTGACATCGGTGAGAGCTAATCGCGCCGTTTTAAGCTTCTCTTTGAAGAAAAAGGAAGCTTGTTTCTTCAGCTCAAGAAACGAAGGTGTTCCCATGGAGATGCTGCTTCGGTTTCTGTTCATCGTCGACATTTCTCTTAGAGAGAGAGAGAGACTTTTTTTGTGAATCTATTTCATACTGTTTGAGTAGTTAGTTCAAAAACCAAATTATTTTTCTAGATTGGTGAATGATGAATAAAGGAGACAAGCAAAACAACAAAAAACTTTACTTAAATCAAGAAAGTCCAGATCTGTGATCCAAAAAGGTCTTGAGTTTGAAAATTTGAATGATCGTTGATCGTTTTATTGCTAGATAAGAAAAGTCAGCAATTTCGTACCAATTACCATTACTTCCACATTCATTGGCCTAATTCATATTATAACGCGGAGTTTATTTGTTGGGATAATTGAATTCTTTTTTTTATATACTCTTTCAAAATTACGTTGCTCCAACAAATAAACTTTTTATAAAACATATAAAACACCACAGTTCTTAACTAGACACAAGAGTTCCAAAAGTTAAAACTTTTAGAAACGAATAATTTCAGATTAGAAAACAAATAACCAAAAATATTTATTGTACAAATTCAAGTAACTGATTTAAGCTTCGAATCGAGAAATTCATTATTTCTTTTTTATCTGAAATTATAAACCAAAGACTTTGAGCCCAAATAATTACAAACATTTTGTAAATGTGGCAAAATCGAACTAACCTGTGAAGATATGAGAACTTGATGAGCAAGTAAGCAAGGATAAGGGTTAACTAGAGTTAATGTAAGTTCACTCGGGTTATGTTAAGCCAATGCTTTTGGGACCACAAGAAGCGACAACGGTTCTAATATAAGATAAAGACATCTTGTCTTTTTGTGTCTAAGAGATTATTGGTCCAAACCAAAACGACATCAAAGGAATCTCTTTTAGGGTTTTGGTTGCTCCACTATATAAAGGCTTGGTGAAGTTTTGGAGAGATTGACCGCAAGAAAGAGAGAAGAACACTAAAAAAATGTAGAAGAAAGAGTGAGAGAAAACCATTGTAAAATATAAGTTTTAGGTGGGTTTTCTCGGGTAGTACATGAAGTAATACAGAGAGTGATACATAGTGAGTTGTTGAGCTTGTATTCACTTGTATTCTTGTACTTCGTGTTCTTCTCATAGTGAATGGTTAAGGGACCGTTTTTCCTCTA